TCAACTGCTCATCTGCACGAGGTTCCCAGATGATGGATGGTGACGAAGCTCCCGGATGATGGTGACGATGTTCCCAGATGATGGATGGTGACAAAGCTCCCGGATGATGGTGGCGAAGTTCCCGGATGATACTGGCGAAGTTCCCGGATGATGGTGGCGAAATTCCCGGATGATGCTGAAGAAGTTCCCGGATGATACTGGCGAAGTTCCCGGATGATGGTGGCGAAATTCCCGGATGATGCTAGCGAAGTTCCCGGATGATGCTGGCGAAGTTCCCGGATGATGGTGGCGAAGTTCCCGGATGATGGCGCCTAAGTTCCCGGATGATGGTGGCGAAGTTCCCGGGTGATACTGGCGAAGTTCCCGGATGATGGTGGCGAAATTCCCGGATGATGCTGGTGAAGTTCCCGGATGATACTGGCGAAGTTCCCGGATGATGGTGGCGAAATTCCCGGATGATGCTTGCGAAGTTCCCGGATGATGGTGGCGAAGTTCCCGGATGATGGTGGCGAAGTTCCCGGATGATGGCGCCTAAGTTCCCGGATGATGGTGGCGAAATTCCAGGATGGTGGAGGAGGTTCCCGGATGATGGTGGTGAAATTCCCGGATGGTGGCGCCTAAGTTCCCGGATGGTGGTGGCGAAATTCCAGGATAATTTCGCAGTGTTTAGATGAAGGCGGAGGAGGTTTCCAGGCGATGGCGGCAAAGTTCCCGGATCAAGGAGGAGGAGGATCCCGGATGATGGCGGCGAAATTCCCGGATGATTGCGGAGGTTCCCGGATGGTGGTGCCTAAGTTCCCGGATGATGGTGGCGAAGTTCCCGGATCATGGAGGAGGAGGTTCAGGTTCCCGGATGATGCGGCGTCGAGAGAGCTGCAAGCTACAACGCCACTGGGATTTTCCATGCGTTTGTGTGTGCGTTTGTGTTTCGGTTGGGGCGGGGTGGGGGTGGGGGGAGGGGAGAGAGGGAAATGTGTGTTGGAGAAGTTTCTGTGTTTGTCTGTGTGTCTGTTTGTAAGTATCTAGGTGGTTGTGTGTTCTTGTCCATGTATGCGTAGGTGTTTGTGTGTGAATGTATGTGTTTGTTTGCTTGTTTGTGAATATAAATGTATTTGTTTATGTGCCTGTGCTTGTCTGCATCTGAATGTACTTATTTGTTTCTGTGTATGAATGTATGCATTTATTTGTCTATGTGTATGAATGTATGCATTTATTTGTCTATGTGTATGAATACTTTTATTTATTTTTTTCTGCAGGCTTTGCTTGTTTGTATATGCATCTCTTTATTTACTTGAATATATGAATGCGTTTATGTATATGTATATGAATGTGTTTGTTTATTTTTTTGTTTGTGTTTGCCTGTATGTGTATATATATATATGAATGCGTTTGTTTATTTTTTGTGTGTCTGTATGCTTTGTTTATTTGTTTGCGTGTGTATGCCTCTGTTTATTTCCCTGTTTATATAAATAAGTTTATATGTGTATATGCGAATGCGTTTTATTTTGTTTGTTTTTTGTTTATTTCTTTGTATAAGTGTGAAGGGCAGCGCAGGCGAGCGAGAAAGGCGAGAAAATGGCTTCGGGCGAAAAAGAAGGTAAGGTTAGCGTCTTGCTACCTGCGATACACACACTATATGATTATTCTTTTTTCTTATTATTATTATTCTTTTTTTTTGGGGGGGGAGGGGGAGGGGAGGGGATTCTTTCTCTTTTTAATGGTGGAAGGTTGCCCGTGTTTTATGAGGTGTTTCTTGGAGAACAGGTGTGTGTGTGTGTGTGTGTGTGTGTGTGTGTGTGTGTGTGTGTGTGTGTGTGTGTGTGTGTGTGTGTGTGTGTGTGTGTGTGAGTTTTGTTTGTATGTTTTGGTGTGTGTGTGTGTGTGCGTGTGTGTGTGTGTGTGTGTGTGTGTGTGTGTGTGTGTGTGTGTGTGTGTGTGTGTGTGTGTGTGTGTGTGTGTGTGCGCGTGTGTGTGCGTGTGTGTGCGTGTGTATGTGTGAATTAGTATACATGCAAATATAGACTCAGGTGGATTCATTTTCCCTTTCTCTTTCCATATTTGCATTGAACAAAAAAATCATGATGTTTAACATCGAGAACATGCTGTGACCTTCTAGATGGCTAATGTTACTCCATCTCTCTCTCTCTCTCTCTCTCTCTCTCTCTCTCTCTCTCTCTCTCTCTCACACACACACACACACACACACACCAAACACACACACACACACACACACACACATATATATATACATATACAAAGACAGGTAGGTAGCTAGATAGATAGACATGTATATATAGAGAAGAGGGAAGGGAGTGAGAGAGATTAAGAGAGATTGAGAGTGCGTGAGAGAGAGAGAGAGAGAGAGAGAGAGAGAGAGAGAGAGAGAGAGAGAGAGAGAGAGAGAGAGAGAGAGAGAGAGAGAGAATATCAAAAGAAATAGAAAAATCGATGGAGAAGAAAAAACAAAACGATAACACACCTAAGGGGAAAACACACAGTCAAATAACGAGAGAAAAAGAAAGCAAATCAGAGAAAAAAAAAACCCTTAGAAGAATAGATGAATAAAGATTAAAAGACAAAACAAAAACAAAACAAGAGCGAAATACAAAAGAGAAAGAGAGAGGGAAATATAATATACGTCATTACCTGCGCCCTCTTCCATAGAGCTGCTCTACATCCTTAACACGGATGAAGGGGGGGGGGGGGGTGCATAGGTAGGGAAAAGGGGAGAGGGGGGGTTAAAGGGTGAAAAAGGAGGGGGGGGGGGGGGTGAAGAGGGCCGGGCGTGCGGTAAGGGTGAGGGAAGGAGATTAAGGGGGGGGGGGTGCGAAGGAGCCTGAAGGGAATGGGGGGAAAGGAGGTTGAGTAGATAGATAGATGGGAACGGGGTAGATGCGGGTAGACAGGGGAGGAACAGGGCATCGGGAGGAGGGGGGGAGAGGGGGACGGGGGGGTTGGGTATATGAGAGGGTAGGGAGCGTTGTAGGGGATGGGGAGGGGGGGTTAAGGGAGGGTGGGATGGGGAGCTGAAGGGAGGGGGGGAGGGGGGTTTAGGAAGAGCCCATGTACGGGGTAAACAGGGCATCGTGGGGGGGGGGTATATGAGGAAAGGGGGGGTTAAGGAAGGGCACAGGAAGAGGGGGGGAGGGGCATATAGGAGAGTATTAGTAGGGCAGGAGGGGTACCCGGTGCCAGAGAGGAAGGGAGAAGGGGGGAGGGGGTAAATGGGGTAAGGGTTAAACGGTGAGGGGGGGGATGGGGGGGGAGGAGGTCGATAAAAACGTGGTTTCTCCCGGATTCTTGTGATGTCGATCTGTTTCTCCCGTGCAACGAGGAAAAAAAGAAAAAAAAAAAAGGTTTTACCTGGCTTCTTAGTCGTTTGACCTTTGCGTCAGATCAGCTTTCGGATAAGTAGATTAAAAAAAAAGAGAGAAAAAAAATTCACGAAATTTACCTTCGAGGTATATAGGGGGAAAAAAATGTATCTTCTGGAAAGTGAATGTCACTGTTACGTAAACGAGAGAAAATTAATGTTGACCGTTCTAGAAAGTGAAAGTCAAGGTTAGACGTAAACACAAGGTTGCATCGCGTGTGGGCAACGTATCGCGATGGACGACACTAACACGATTATCAAAGCAAGAAAAAAGGTGATCCGTAAAGAGGTCGTTTGCAGTGCAATGGAGACAATGCACGCTGCCTTTCCATACTTGACAGAATCGTCGGTTTAGTCTGATACGGTTATTTATTTATCTGTTTTTTTTTCTCTCTCTCTTTTCATTTTCTATGTTGAATGTTTGGGGTTTCCCTCTCTAAGTTCTCTCTTCTTCCTTTTCTCCCTCTCCTCCTTTTCTTATTTATGTCCCTGTGTCTCATCCCCCTTCTTACCTTCCTTGCTCTTCCTCTTTTTACCTTCCTTCCCTCTTCCCTTTTCTTGCCTTCCATCTCTCTTCCCCTTTCTCACCTTACATCCCTCTTCCCCTTTCTTACCTTCCTTCCCTCTTCCCCTTTCTTACTTTCCATCTCTCTTCCCCTTTCTTACCTTCCACCCCTCTTTCCCTTTCTTACCTTCCATCTCTCTTCCCCTTTCTTACCTTCCATCTCTCTTCCCCTTTTGCTTTCCGTCTTAACCTCCCCCTCGGACAGCCGTGTAAATAATAAATGTGAACAAACTGACAGTCTAACTACTTAAAGTGTACTTGCCTCGCACACATTTGACGATTAAGACGTAAATTGCGAACGAATTGACAAAGCACAGGCAATAATAATAGCTGTACTACTACTAATACTAATACTACTACTACTATTACTAATAATAATAATACTGATAACAATAAAAACAATGATAATAAAAACAATAATGAGAATAATAAATGTGAATGTGTGTGTGTGTGTGTGTGTGTGTGTGTGTGTGTGTGTGTGTGTGTGTGTGTGTGTGTGTGTGTGTGTGTGTGTGCGCGTGCGTGTGTGCGCGTAATATTAGTAAATCCTTATTTTCAGCGACGGTTAGACACACATAAAAAATTCTAAATTTGATAATTACAATAAGGAAAAAAAACAACCTAAAATAGAAAGAAACAACAATTTCTCCCAATATTTACAGGACCACATAATAAACACACACAAATACCTCGAAAACACACACAGCATCATGCTATTAAAACGCAATAGATGTACCCAGAGTCTACCGAGTGAAAACATGTATGGAACAAGTTCTGCTGATCCTATTACATTAGCTCTGATCCATTAACCAAACATCTTCATTACCCAAAATCCGTAGAGTCAACATGTGCAATGAACATGCACCAGAAATGGCAACATCCGCCACGCTCTCCTCACCATCGTATTCAACATTGATTCAGGAAAGAGAAAGAGAGAAGGGGGGAGGGGGAGGGAGAGGGGGGGGGGGAGGGAGGGAGGAAGAGAGGAAGGGAGGAAGAAAGGGAGGGAGGAAGAGAGGGAGAGAGGGAGGGAGGGAGGGAGGGAGGGAGGGAGGGAGAGAGAGGGGGGGGGAGCGAAAAGAGAGAGAGGGAAAGAAAGAGAAGGAAAGAAAGAAAAAGAGAGCGAAACAAAGAAAAATAAAAGAAAAGAAAAGAGAGAGAGAGAGAGAGAGAGAGAGAGAAAGACAAAAAGAAAAACGAGAAAGAACCCGACTCATCTTAACTTTCAACATCCTCTCGCTCTATATTCCTCGACAAAGTGAAGGTACATTTGAAGATGACTGATGAGATAACACGGATAAAAGAACCGCATGAATTAGTTGGTCATAACAAGAGATTCCAAGGTTTCAAGACCGGAATGTTGATTGTGGAGAACAACCACTCCCTGCTGCGCTCCAGAAATAGCTCTATGTATATGCGCTTATGGATGTATGCATATGTATATGTATGTATGTATGTATGTATGTATGTATGTATGTATGTATGTATGTGTATATATAATGTGTGTGGGGGAGTGTATGGGAGAGGGGGTGTCCTCAAGAGATGCAGAGAGACAGACAGACAGACAGAGAAAATGGAAGAGGAGATGAGAAC